ACCTGGCTTGTTAGGGAGTTACTGTGGCTCAGGATCTGACTCTAATAACTCTCGTCATAAGATGGGATGAAACACGGACTTAGTTCTACACAAACAAGAGGCAACAGTGGAGAAGATAAAGAAAATGAAATTCATTGGAAGCAGCAAAGGATTTTTTCGAAATGGAGTGGCTGATGAGGTCCTAGTCAGGATCTGTTATAGACGTGAGTAGAGAGTAGTTGCAGATTAAATTCTCTTATTTGTATTTTCTCTCAGTATGTGAACAGATAAGGACACCAGAGATTTAAATTTCCCAGTAGAAATGACTACAAAAAACTTAGAAAAGGTTTTGTATGGAAAGCTGAAATAATGACAAGAAAACAGACAAGATTGTAATTTGACCCAAATGTGCATAATTGAAGATCCCAGAAATATTATGGTTTCCTTTTGCTAGATTACACTACTTGGTCAAGACTGAGGAAATGGTGTAGATGCCACCAAAATGGAATACATGTTCCTAGCCATTGAGTTCTACATACAGATTCATACAGCTTGTGAGTAGAGCACAGACGGAGGTAGTGTGTCAAAAGCTTAGATAGACCTATGTACAAAGCCAATGCACTGTGACTCTCCTTTAGGCATTCATAATTTCATTCATCTTTTTTTGTTTGTTTTTTTGTTTTTTGTTTTTGTTTTTTCGAGACAGGGTTTCTCTGTGTAGCTTTGCGCCTTTCCTGGCACTCACTTGGTAGCCCAGGCTGGCCTCGAACTCACAGAGATCCGCCTGCCTCCGCCTCCCGAGTGCTGGGATTAAAGGCGTGCGCCACCAACGCCCGGCATAAAATATGTATTTATTTCTTTATTTTTTTATTTTTATTTTTTTGTTTTTCAAGACAGGGTTTCTCTGTGTGGCTTTGTGCTTTTCCTGGATCTCGCTCTGTAGACCAGGCTGGCCTCGAACTCTCAGAGATCCGCCTGGCTCTCCCTCCCGAGTGCTGGGATTAAAGGCATGCACTACCACCGCCCTCATTCATCTTTTTAAATAAAGGGTCCTCAGAGTTGTAAGTTGTGGGAAGGTAAATGGACATAGATGACCTTTCCTTCATTCCATACCCTTCATGTTTGTGTCTAATATATTTTAAAAGTCCTGAGTATTTCCAGTATAGTTAGCATGTCAAATACATGCAAAATATTGAGGGAAAGAATTAGATGAGAATTTGTGGTATATATTTTGATGATGTGCAAGCAATCTTTGTTCAAGACACACAGGGTTTGTTTAATGAATATCTCAAATTTATGAATGAACAACATTATAACATGAGAGACATTTTCTCCAATGCTTGTGCTTTCTGACTCCACGTATGTAACATCATGAACCAGTGTCAGCTGCAGTCATTCCTTTTCTCTGCTACAGGTGCCAATTGCTCATGACTTCAATAGAGATGTCTACCACAGGCTCACATGTTTTAACATTTGGTCCCTAGGTGGCCATGCCATGTGGGAAGACTGTGAAAGCTTGGGGAGTGAATTTCTAGGGGCACTCCCTGAGACTCTGGAACATCAGCCTGCTCTGTTCATATTCTGCTTCCTGACTGGGGATGCAATGTGACCAGCCAGTTCCCATTTATTGTCATGCCATGCCTTTCTGCCTCGAAGTATGAATGCAAATAAACCATTCTTCTCTTAAGCTGCTTCTTGTCAGGTACTTTGTTACAGCAATAAGAAGAGCAGCTAGAACAACATTGCTCCAGACCTTTCTTACCAAATTTCTTTGGTTACCTTATTCCCGTTGTTGCTTAGTGCTAAGTGCTAAGTGCTGTTACTACCTGTGATAGATTGGGTAAGAAGAATTCCACCATGGTTCCATGGCTTGAAAACATGGTTCCCAGTTGGTGGGGGTGTTTGTAGTGGTTTAGGTGGTATAGTCTTGCTGGAGGAAGTGTGTCACTGTGGACAGGCTTTGAAATTATAAAGCCTCACTCTAATTGCAGTTATCAATCTCTGCTTTATGCTGTCTTTTGACAATGTGAGCTCTTATATTTCTACTACTGCTGCCATGCTGATCTTATAACAACTCTCCATGATGGGTTATTATTATTCTGGATTCTTAAGCCCTAGTTAACTATTTCTTCTATAAATTGCCTTGCTCATATCACAGCAACAGAAAAGCAGCTAATACACTTGTCTTCTAGAATTGTCATAGTCAATCGTACCATGAATATAGTACTTAAAAACTGACTTTTGCAGTAGTACTGAACAATTAGGAATGTCCATTCCTAAGATGTATTGATACTCTCCACCTCTACCGCATTCTTGAAACCACAATGAAGTGATTAACCTTGTATATCCTGGAGAATATAGTCAGAAGGTGAGTTATTATTCACAATATAATGAACAAATTTTGGCATGACTCTCCTTTCGAATCTTTTGGCTAACATTTGAGTTGTGCCCAGGTATCTCTGGCAGTTCTACTTCAATGACCTAAATAACTGTTTTACTGTTTACTAAAGAGTGACTATAACCATAGAAAGTTCTTAGGACCTGTCCTATTTGCTTTCCATTACTGTGATAAACATCATAACCACAAGAAACCTGGAGAAGAAAGGTTTTACTTTATCTTATACTTCTTTGTGACAATCTATCATTGTGGGAAGCCAAGGCAGGAACTCAAGTAGGAACTTGGAGGCAGGAACTAAAGCAGAGGACATGGAAGAATGGTGCTGATTGATTTGCTTCTAGACCTTACTACATCAATCAATAATTGAAAAACATGCTTCCACAGATTTGTCTAAGAGCCAGTCTGATGGGGACATTTTTTAACTATGGTTCCCTCCTCCCAGATGATCATAGTTTATGGTACATTAATGAATATGACCAAGATCCACATGTCCTTCTCAGACTTCATTCTGATCCTCAGTAAATGCTTTAATGAACACTTCCTAACTGGTTCTGGCAACCCACCCCACTGAATTATTAAAAGACTTCAAATTCTTCTCTCTATAATGGTGGTGAATATGAGCTTTCAACTTGACAAAATTTAAAATCATCTCTTAGATAAGCTTCAGGGTATATTTGTAAGGGAGTTCCTAGATAAAGTTAACCAAGATAAGAAGAACCACTCTAAATGTGGGCAGTGCCATTCCATAGCCTGGATTCACAGAATAAACAAAAATTAGAAGGCAAGCTCACCAGCACCATTCATATCTCTGTTTCCTGACTGTGGGTACAATGTGACCAGCAGCCTATTTATTTCTCTTGCCAACTGTGGTGATGTATTGTGTCCCCCAAAATTCTGTGTCTCTCAATAAAATAAAACTTGCCTGCAGATCAGAGGAAAAAGCCAGCCACTATATGGAAGTTAGGCAATGATAGCACATGCCTTTAATCCTATCATTTGGCAGTAAGGGGCCTGTCTGGATCCTTGTGAGTTCAAGGCCACACTGGGAACAGAGCCTTAAATTCCAACACTAGTTAACCATGAATGTCTGGAGGGCTTTATAGACAGGCAGGAAGTGACAGAGCTGGACAGGAAGAGGAAGTGATGTAGCTGGTCTGAAAGAGCAAATGAGAGAACAGAACAGAAAGGCAATAGGTGTGGGTAGACACACCTTTGTCCTTGGAAGCTGCAGAGTTGGTGAGGCGAGGTTAGCCGTGGCTTTCCCTATTTCCCTGATCTCTCAGGTTTTCACCCCAAAACTGGCTCTGTGTTTTTTATTTAATAAGATCATTTAGAAATTTTTCTACAGCCATCGTTTCTCCACCATGATAGATGATACTCTCAAACTGTGAGCCAACAATCACAGCACAAAGAAACTTGCTCAACCATGTTCACAGCAGAGCTATTCATAATACCCAGAACCTAGAAACAACCAAGATGCCCCTCAACCAAAGAATGGAAAAAAAAATTGGTACTTTTACACAATGGAACTCAGCCATAAACAGCAATGACATCATGAAATTCCCAGGACTCAAAGCATGGGGAAGAGCTCAGTCCTGGTTTTATTTGATGTGTCATGCTTTTTTGTCTCCTATTGGAGGCCTGCCCCTTTCTGAATGGAGAAGGGGAAAGAGTGGATGGGAAAGGTAGATGAGAGGTGGGAGGAGGGAATGAGTGGAGAGGAGGGAAGAGAAACTGTGGTCTGTATGTAAAATAAATGAAAAATGTAATTAAAAAAATCAAAAAATACTATGAGCCAAAAGAAATCCTTTCTTCCTTAAATTCCTTTCATCAAGTCATTTTTGCAGCACCAGAAAATTTGAGTAACATAATCTCCAATTTCTTGCCACTATGTAATAGCATGGATTCAGGTCCTTTGGCCTGTAAGTTCTCTTGGAACAGTTCTTATCCTTGAGCATTTGGGAGAGTGGAGGCAAAATTTGGGTATTGTTCTGGAAGTAATGATGGATCCCTAGAGTTAGTCACACAGGGACCAAGTTGGGTCCCTGCATCTTTTGTGAGGTATCCACCAGAGCAGACCATTTGGATAAAAGTTCAAGCCAAGAGAAAGTCTTTCCTGGCTGGTAACTACAATGGGTGTTTGGGACCCAACTATAGTCCTGTTCCTTCTTCAGGGTGAATTTTTAAGTATGAAAATACATCCTGGACCGACACACCTCAGCTAGTAAAAACAGTTAGCAAGAAGCAGGACTGTAGAAGCCAAAAAGCAAGGTTAGGACATTTAGGGACATTCCCAGAATTATGGGTTTGATGAATTAGAAATATTGTTTTCATTTTGGCAGGTGGTCCTGCCTACATGCTGGCTTTATGGCTTTATGGCTGTGGGGATGAGCCATCTCTCTACATAGAATTCATCATGGACATGAATCATGGCAAATGCATAATGACTATCCATATATAGTGATGGCTTTGGCCTTCCCCTAGTGAAGTGTCTAGGTTGATGCTAGAATCTCAGCCCCTTGTGCTGAAGTCCCTTGGCTCAGAGACTCGGTCCATACCATCATGCCAAGGAGACGTCTGTGGCTCCAGTGTACCTGCTTTCATCTTGAACAGAACTGCTCCCAGCAGTCCTGATCATCTGCAAATAGTGTGTAGGTGTGTCACACCAGTCCATCTGTCTGGCAGACAGAAACCTTTTCTATGGGGCCTTCACAGGGGCCTGGGCACCTTTGGGAGCCTGAGCTGGAGCTGAGGCCTCTGCCTTGGTTTGAGCCTTGGGCTTTGGTTGGCAGAGCCTACGACCCCTGGCCATGTAGCTTCTAATCTGCTTCCCGAGCGTGGGGTGAGCGATGAAAGCGAGACAGCTGAACTTTTTTGAAGAAAATGAAAAGGGAAGTGCTGTAGATATCTGTATGCTGTGAATGTGTTGCTATGATTGATTGATAAATAAAATGCTGATTAGATAGTAGCCAGGCAGGAAGTATAGGTGGGATAAAGAAAGAGGAGAATTCTGGGAAGTGCAAGGCTGAGTCAGGAGATGCCAGCCCACCATCCAGGGAGCAGCATGTAACAGGCACACTGGTAAAGCCACAGAACATATGGCAACATATAGATTAACAGAAATGGGCTGAGTTTAAGTGTAAGAGCTAGTCAGTGGTAGGCGTAAGCTAATGGCTGAGCAGTTTTAAATAATACTAGCCTGTGTCTGTTTATTTGAGTCTGAGTGGCCGCAGGCGCAGGCGGGACTGGAGATAACTCCAGCTACAGATGGGACCCATACTATGCAAGGGGAAAGAAAACCAAGAACAGCAATGAAAGTTATACTGGAATGCTAACTTAGCAAACCAACCTCAGTTTGAAATAATTAATCAAGAAATGCTGCATAGAGGACAGAGACAGAAAGAGTAGGATGGGAGAAAAGAGTATATAGGATGACCGATTCAAATTATACTTACACACTTATGTCATAATAGAAACAATTGTGTATATTTTTTCAGATTAAAATTGTGTGTGTGTGTGTGTGTGTGTGTGTGTGTGTGTGTGTGTGTGTTAAGCAGAAGAAAACATCAGATCCCCTGGTGCTGGAGTTACAGGTGGTTGTGAGCCACCTGGCATAGTAGTAGAAACCAATATCTGGACTTCTGCAAGAACAGTTTGAGCTCCAAGTAGGCAATCTCTCCAGACCCCTATTCTGCATGTTTAATATGTGCTAAAAACATTAAAAATAAATGCCTCATTGAGTTTACATTATTGAAGTTAGACCCAGTGGTATCTGGGGCATGAAATTCTCAGTAGAAAAAGTAGTTACAGGAATTTAGGCATTTCTGAGCAACAGAAAGGGGAAGAATATGGTTGTAGAAGGATTAAATAGAGAAAATTGACTTAGTAGATGTATTTGGTGAAGGAGAAGGTCAAGAGGGGCTGATAAAGTCTGAGTTGGCTTACAGAGTAAAAAAAAATGGTGGTTTAAATTTTAAGGTGAGACTGAAGAGATGGCCCAGTGGATAAAGAGGTTGTAGCACAAGTTAAAGGCCCCAAGTTTAGATTTCCAGCACCCACATACATGCATGTATCTGCAACCACAGCACTGGAGTGAGGAAGGAGTGAATACAAAGTGATTCCTGGAATTCCAAGGCTAGCTAGTCTCAGCCACTCACATACTGAGCTCCAGCTTCCATGAAAGACCTCACCCCAGACAATGAGATGGCTCAGCAGGTGAGAGTGCTCTGTGCTCCAGCCTGGTAATGTGAGTTTACCCCTGGAATTTACACGACAGATGAGAGCAAACCTCCTCAGTTCTTCTCTGGACTCCACAAACACACTATGGCACACGCATGTGCACACACACAAACAAGGAGATAAATGTAGTTAATATACTTTCATAGGTAAGCACACCCAAACATAGGCAAACACCACACAAGCATACACACACATACACACACACACACACACACACACGTACACACAAACACACACACACGTACACACACATGTACACACACACACACACACACACACACACACACACACGACACATGACACACGACACAGAAGAGGAGGAGGAGAATTTTGCAAGGACCAAGAAAAGTGATCCAGATGGTTGCATGCTTGCCTAGCACGCGCAAAGTTCTAGTTCACTACGAACACCCTATAAAACCTGACATAATGACACATGCCATTATCTCAACATTCAGAAGAATGGATGAATGAGAATCAGAAGTTCAAGATCAACCCTGACTGCATTAGGTAATATCAAGGCCACCTTGCACTACATGAGAACCTATCTGAAAAACAACAAGCAAACAAACAAACATACAAAAACAGTTGTTGTTATATCAAGTTCAAAATGTTTGTCAGGGAATACATTTTGGGTTGTTCAGAGAAAAGCCTGAGACAGAAATATGAACTTAGGAGAAAGTGGAATTTATGCCATAAGAAGGAATACTATCAAAAAAGAAAGAAATAAAGTATGGGCTGAACCCTGGAGGATGGAAACATTGAGGTTGAATAGGAAAAGGAAACATCAGGAAAATGAGATGGACTTGAAAGTGCAGTAATTTGAAATTAGCCCTCCAGAGAAGCTCAACCAATGGAGCAGGGAATATATGTTGAACACATACCATTAGAGGTCAGTGTGCTCAGAGCTCTGGGGATACAAGGATGGGGAACTATTCTTTCTTTTTAGAGATGTATAGCCAAATTTGGAAATGGATGGACAGAGAGACATGCATACACACATAAAGAGGAACTTTAAGTGAGGAAAATATGTCCACATTTTAGCAGCATGTACAGTAAATTTAAAGAATGTCAGTGCTGTATTCTGATTATCTCAAATTCACACACTGTCTTTTAACATGAATCTATATTACATCTCTACTTAGTTATTATGAGGTGTGTGTGTGAGAGAGAAAGAGAGAGAGAGAGAGAGAGAGAGAGAGAGAGAGAGAGAGAGAGAGAGAGTAGGGAAATGCCATAATTTGTGTACGGAGGTCAGAGGACAACTTGAAGACTTGGTTCTCCCCTATAATATAGATCCTGAGGATTGAGCTCAGGTCATCAGTTTTGGTGACCCATTAAGCATCATACTGGCCTCACATATTACATTTTAATGGCCAATATGAAGGCACTCCAATATGACCTATTGAAGAGAGGATTAAGTTATTATGGAAAAACTATCTTGAAAGGACTAATGTCTGGATGATGGAGGCTGAAGGTAGCAACATAATGTCTCACGCTTTTCTGTCCTTTCTGTCCTGTCAGGACCCAGCATCTATCTGTTTCTAAGATTCCGTGTTCAAGGCACAGAGAATGAACTCTCACCAGATGATGAGTTAGGCCGTTCCTTGATTGTGTACTTCCCAGCCTCTATGAATGAATATTGTGGTTTGAATGTGAATCATCCTCCACAGGTTCCTATGTTTAAACATTTAGTCCTTACCATGTGGTGCTATTTGGCCATGTTGCAGAATCTTTAGGAGTGTGGAGCCTGGAGGTTTTCTATAGAGCTCTACTTCCTGCTCACTATTTCCTGACTGAAGACTGATACAGGCTGTCTTCCTCTTCTACCACCATTCTCTTCCCTCCGTCTTCCATATCTTTCCCTCTGTGATGGACTTATCCCTTCAAACTTTGAGCCAGACCAAACCCTTCTATTGCTGGAGATTTCCTGTCCCACAGCCACTCTCAAATAAACACACTGATCCTTAATATTAATTATACATGCTCATCTAATAGCCCAGGTTTATTACTAACTCTTATGTTTTAAGTCAATTCATATTATTTAAGCTCTGCCACATGGGGGTACCTTTATTAACATGGCACATTCATCTCCTGCTCCCTCTGTGTCTGGCTTATGACTCCTCACTCCACCCTTTCTTATCCCATCATTCTCAATTTGGCTTTCCAGCCTAACTTTATCCTGTTCACCTTTTGGCTAGTCAGCTTTTTTATTAAGCCGATTCTAGCAACATATATTTGCACAGTGTAAAGGAATATTCCACAGCACCCTTCCTTAAATTGTTTATGGATGACACTGTGCACATGTGGAGGACAGTTGAAAACATAATTAATTAATGTTAAAGTGCTGTGATTTAGAGGAGATATGTTCTTCAGAGGTTCAAGGGCTTGGTCCCCAGAATGGCAGTATTAAGGTGGCAGAGGTGTATCTCTACAATTAGAATAGGAAGATCTGACTGACCATATGGCTTGATTGACAAAAGGGCCTGTCACTGATGTTGAGGACTGAAGTGACATCCCAGGACCCACATGGAGAAGCAGAAAGGAATGAATTTCTGCAAGTTGTCTCTGGCCTCTATGAGTCTGCAGTAGACACACACACACACACACACACACACACACACACACACACACACACACAGAAAGAAAAGAAAGAAAGAAAGAAAGAAAGAAAGAAAGAAAGAAAGAAAGAAAGAAA